AAATTTACATTAAATTCATAAAGTATTATTGATTAGAAATATGCGGTTTCTATCTACCGTTGATTGAGATTGCCACTTCTAGAAATTTTATAAATTCACACACATTATACGCATTTTTCATGTTTCTAAAAATGAAACAAACGGTTTAAGGATCTCATAAATTTGTTCTCAAAAAATAAGTATGAATTGAATAAACAAGATAACGGTCCAATTGTAACTTTCACATCTTACTCACTCTGCACTATTTTGTCTACCTCGATTTTTTTTTAAACAAGCTATTTACTAAGTTTATATTATATGCAAAGCGCTAATTGTTAATTAGATCGCAAAATTAAGGCACAGAGAAAAATGATCAAATTCAAGGATTTAGTCAAACTTTGACAATTTTAGGACAGTCGAGTTTAAAGATCTAAGATATATATATGAGGCGATGTGTTTAGCAACGTGAAGAACCACAGTCTAGAATTAAATGTACCGTGGAGGCACCACATTTGAAACGGTTCCTAACTCGACGCACCTCCCTTAGCTCAGTCGGTAAAGGTGCAGTTACAAAGCAAGACCATGCTGGAGGTGGCTGGGTTCGATTCCCGGTCCGGTCTAGGAATTTTTCGGGTTGGAAAATTTCTCGACTTCCCTGAGCATAGAGTATGATTGTACTTGCCACACAATTATACTAATGCAAAAATGGTACAGACATCGAAAGCTCTCAATTAATAACTGTGGAAGTGCATCAAGAACACTAAGTTGAGAGCACGCAATAAGCTAATATGCCATACGCAATAAGCTTGAAATGCGAGGAAGAAGAAGAAGAAGCAGAAGAACTCGACGCAATCAATAATTTTCGACTATTTTTAATCTATATTTTTGAAAAGTTACTACTGTAAATATTAGTTCCAGGGAAGGCAGTATAACAAATATCTCAACAAAATCGAGATGCGATCAAAAATAGACGAGTGCGCCAACATAAGATACTAATGGCTAACTTAGATCCGTGCCAGAACCATATTATTTTGGCACGGATCTAAGTTAGCCATGAGTGTTTTAATAAACAAAAAATCTTGCTCTTCTTTGTAGTCGCCATAGCGGACGGTCGTTTCCATTCCTCTCAAGAATTCAATCTTCTGTAACTGTAAAAGATCATAAATCTGGGACCTAGCCAACTTTTCTAGATCGCAGTCTAAGAAAACATCTCATTATTATGGAACGAGGAAAATTGTCCCAGATGGAAACATCACGGACCAAAAACAAAATTTAAATGGATCTAAGACTAATATCGGTCGAGAAAAATTTGGGATTTAAGCATGTATTTTAGAATTTTGGACCGTTTTTTTATTTCTGGGACTTACAAATTCGAGATCTCTAAGACAACCAAATTGAGAAAATTGTAAGGTCTGAAATAATTTTCTATATTTTGAACATATAGAATGTAAGTTTACAGTCCTTGAACAATTTAAATGCTTCTTAAACATAGAAAACATTAAACATTAGAACGAAAAAAAAAACAATACAATTTAATGAACTTAGAAAGAAACTCCAGATCGGTGTTTGGAAAAATACTAAAGCTACCGAAGGTCAAAGATTTTTAAAAAAAAAAAATGTCGAGAGCTTAAAAACTTTCCTAGACCATTTTTTGACATTTTAGGCATTTGGAAAACAACATTCAAGATCGCTAAGGAAAATAGATAAAATATTGAGTTCAGGAATTTCTTCCAATCTTCTGACAAATTTGTGATAAGTCTCTGACAATTTCGAGATGAAAAAAAATCAAAATATTAGTGATTGCGTCAACATCAATTGGATAGTTCCCGTTTTCGTATGTTCGCAACTCTTTTTGTCCGTCAGAATTCACACATTTGTATTGAATCTTTCTAAAACCAATTTATTATCAAATAAATATGTGATTTGATGTGAGTTTTTAAGATAAAATACTTTACTCTCAACATTGGCCGTGAGTTAATTTTAAGGAACAGTGACTATAGTGACTTTTTGATGAAAAAAGTTACTTTTTAGTGACTGACTTGAAAATATTGACCTAGCCACTAAAAAGTGATCTGCTACCAGCCCAGGACATCACTCATGCCGGTGTTCTTATTTTTATCATATTTAGATATTTTTATGAAACCGGTAAAAAAACGGTAATTTCATTTCTTAAACTCATTGTTTTTTCATTGTCTGCCAGAAATAAGCACGCTGGAATAGCAGTTTTTTTTTTAATTTTCCATCTGCCAAATTTAAGTGAAAAGTCATCAAATGAAACACAGCCTTTCCGTTAAATTTGAGTGTTATCAGTTTCGTGAATTATATACCATAGCACTGGCATCGGATCAGTTTATCGTTTCTATTCAAACTATTGAACTTGTATGCAACATTGTTTTCTATTCAGCAAGCCTGCTTATATTCCGCCAATTGCTCACGAGGTGCCGTTAGTCAGTTCCGTGACGATATTTCGAAGGAGAGGTTGTTTAAAGTGTTTCATCTGTTTGTCTGTGTCCATATGGTCATTATCGTGGGTTAAGTTTATATTATGGGTCACAATACAATACTCACTGCGAGGTCCCCAACAACTGTGCTAAATTTGATCGAATTTGGAAATCGGAATTGGTTATCACAATAGGGGATTCTCCTCCTTGGCATTAAGCCGGGAAAGTTTACTAGAATTTTTCCTGGATGATGGATCATTCTCATCATCCGTGAGCAAATCAAATTGATTGCTCAGATTAATTTCATCAGAAGGGGATCAAGAGATTTCCCTTTTCTTTTGCGCTTAGGCGCCATGGCGGCAGTAAAAATTTTATCCAAATCGACTTCCAAGCAGATTACTATAAGAATCAGAAGGATCGAAGAGGAATTTTCCAAATCAATATCCAAGAAGAATTACCTCAGGTAGGGTCAAAACAAGGATCGATGAGGAATAAGAGTCAAATAAAGTAGAACATTTACAGGTATATTGAGCACTGAAAAGTGCTACTTAAATTTGTTGTAGCTTTAGGTAGTAGTAACACTTCCTTCAGCAAATAGCGGACTGAACAACTCGGAATCGTGCAGTCAACGGTGAGTCGTGTGATTAAACGTTACTTCGAAGCTCTGAGCATCGAACGAAAGGAGAATTGTGGTCAGAATGGGTGTTCTATTAGTGATCAGGATCACAAGCGTGTCGTGAAAGCGTTTAAGTGGAATCCTAATGCTTCGGTTGTTGAATCTGTCCAAGTCATTCGTTCAGAGAGCCAAGAACCGCGAGGGACTGCATACACACTACCAAAAAGTCATGTAAATTTCCGTGCCCTGAGACCGACACATGCAAGCGGCCCAAATGACATAAGAATCAGTTGAAAGAAACGAGAAAATATATTCAATCAATCGTACTTTTCGTCGAGTTGCGTATGTTTCGGTTTGGGAACACTTAATTTTACATGACATGTTTGTTTACGTTCCATAATTTACGTCAAAGATGGATTACGTCTCGTGTAAAAATAGTTATTTTTAAGTGTGTACGTACAAAGTGCAGAAGGCTCCCAATCGGGACGAACGGCAAAATACGGTGGGAAAGTCACGGGCCCGGAAACTGTACAACCAGATGCTGACGAAGCCGAGGACGAAGCCTCATTGTCTCATCATGGATCATGAGACTTACGTCAAGGCGGACTTCCGGCAGCTTCCGGGGCTACTGTTCTTCACCGCCCAGCACAAGTTTGATGTTCCGGAGGAAGTAAGGAAGCAGAAAAATTCAAAGTTTGCCAAGAAATACATGATTTGGCAAGCGATCTGCTCATGTGGCAAACGGAGTGCGCCGTTCGTGACTACCGGGACTGTAAACGGGGAGATCTACCTCTAGGAGTATCTACAGGATGTCGAACGTATTACGCAGAGCAAAACCCTATCCAAGCAGAGAGTAAACAGTATTCTTAAAACCTCGTTTTCTACAGCAAGATACATCACGTCTTAGAGCCAAGGTTGCAAAGACTCATTTCAGTTAAAACAATGTTTTTCTAAATTATGAAATAATTAGATGCCATGATCAAATTTTGAATTTGTAGGATACAAGAAGAGGTTGCAAAGAATGTGTTTGACATATTAAACCTGTTTATTTCACTTCATGGGAGTCACAATCAGCGATTTTTCACAAACTCACTCACTCACTCACTCACTCACTCAGCGATCAGCAAATCGCTGATTGTGACTCATAGAAAGCAAAATTTACAGGTTTTATGTTTCCAACGCATACTTTGTAACCTCTTCTTGTAAGTTACAAGTAAAACATGCCATCATACCATCTTTTGGTTTTATTATTCCGAAAAACATTATTTTAGCTGAAATGAGTCTTTTCAACCTTGCTTAGAGCATCTTATTAATAAAAACTTCATGTTTGGAATAGGGTCAAAAGTACTAGTTTTTTTTTTGTCCTTAGGACTCGCTTCCATCTCGTGTAGTAATACCATAGAGGTAACTCTAAGACCAGAAGGTCCCGAAGAAACGAGCTCAACTTTTTGGCTCAGCTCTGGTACTATCTTCGGTCCCAAGCTAATCGATTCACCCCTCGAATCATAGGAAAATCCACTAACGCCTCATTTTATCTGTCAAAATTTCATAGCGAATCAAAACAAACATAGTGTAGTACTGGAATTTATACTAAAATGGGGTACGTAAGTCAATTTGCTTGGAACCAATAGACTAGTCAAGTAGTGAGCCAATTTAAAATCGTTAGTTTCGTATTGTTTGTTGGTAATACTGAACGGTAACACCTTGAAAAAGCCGACTGTAATCCTCTTTAGCGGTGAGTTGACAAACTTTATGAATTTCCTTTTCAACAGTTAAGCCTTGATAATTAATCGACTTCGCAAAAAAAAAATCGATCCACAACTAAGCGTAACGACTAGTAAAGACACCAAAGAGAAATAAATCGGATAAAATTTGGATCAGACAGTCTTTCCGACAGTCTGGGAGCAATGTAGCGATCAGTATTGGATCAATATTTAAATTAAACAAAAAAAATGGAAACTTACGTGAAATATGTCATAAAATATGGCACCAAAATGGGCTCTTCCTGGGAGAAAAATGAGAAAATAATAGCCCCACTTCAATTAAAACGGTCGGTAGCTATGTGTGTGAGTGTGTTAGAAATTTATTCAGATGGATGAACTTACTATAATTGATAGCGCCTGGAGTTACTAATTTCGGGAAGATTCTGGCTTCAAAGTTGAAGCTTTTGTCATTTCATATAAAATGGATTATTATTTTCCCGACCACTGCAAATAGATCGGAGCCGTCACTACCATATTAAAATAGTATAACGTTGCAATTCTGGGCACATCCAAGTGGATTTTAATCAAATCGAATCCCACACCCCCTATGCAGATGGGTTTCTCGTGGGTCAGCTCTGCACTGATGGTTTTGTTCCGGTGGGAACTGATAATTTATAGCCCACAATTGACATAAATCAAGAAAAGCCCACGCCAAATTCAAATACGCTAAAGTGGATCCACCGATTCCGATTACCTAATCGTATAATTACGGTCGCCTATCTTGCACCTTACACCTCCAATGTTTGGACAAATCTCAACGATTGCGGCAAGTAGATAGTGTAGGGCAACTGCCAGAGCAAAAGATTGAATTCTGCTGTTATCAGGCATCTTGAAGCCTCGGCCTGTTATCATCGAAACACGGGAGCAGACACCCACAAGAAGTACGTAGCGAACGACACTGCCTAATACAAGAAGTAACATATTTACAGACACAATTAGCACAAATATGATTATGCGGTGTTTTGAGTGTCGTCATCGCAGCGGAGCAAACTGAAAGAGTATTTAAACTTTTCGTAAACTATACAGTACAATGTCATGGAGGATGGCAAATGCATTTGTCGATTCAATTAAATGGCGGCGTGCTGTTAAACTATTTACATGGATAAGCTTGGCAGAAAGCCCCGTTAAAACATACAAATAGGGAGTGCAAATACTTTTAACATGACACAACAACCAATTCAAAGATGATTTGAGCTTCAAGATTTGGATTGTACACATTCTTCCCCCAACACTGACGGTAGCTATATATGAATCACAACAAAGTTGACGGCAACGACAGCGAACACAGACAAACGTTTATGGGAAGGTACTTGCCTTTTGCCTGGATTTGGACACTCAGTAGTAGATAGAGAGAGAGAGAGAGAGTGAGAGAGCGAACGGGTTAATCTCGACTATAATAGTAATATAATGTGATGCTGTGAAAAAGGGATTATTCTTTCTCAAACATAAACAGTAAGCACATGTAACGATGATCTGGGTGGTGCAATGTTGGCGATAGATTAGAAACCAAGTAGAAGTCATTAGGTTGTAAGCCAAAAGTTGAGCGAGTTTAGCAAGAAGAAAGATGAAGAAATACAGTTCACAGGTTAGGGACCATCCATAAATGACGTAGCATATTTGCGTGTTTGCCATACTTAATACATGGCCGGTTACAACTTCTGAAACCCCACCCCTCTCAAATGCAACGTCATTTATGTATGTTCCCTTATGGGTACGATTAGCCTCCAGGTGAGAGAAAGAAGAGAATGGAGTTAGAGAGAGCTAAGGTGTGGGTGTGAGTTTGAAGAGGTGAATAAATAAAAAGTAGTTGTTATTGTTATTATTAAGTTATAACTTTATTTCGTTACTTGCTAGAAGTGCACTTGTATTATTAATCTAAGAAAACGTTAATAATGATAAGAGATAGTAGATATTATTAATTAATTAACGTATTGAGTTTCTGGCGAGCTGATACAACAACTGTTTTTTTTTATTGTTTCGATTAATCGGCCTTGCTTTCGGTTAGAATAAAATTAGAAGTGGATTAATTTCCGACAGCTCTTGAAAACAATCCATAATCGCTTGTATTAGACCGAATTAATTTAGTGTGATTACATTGTTAATGAAATGTTAAGATTTCCATACTTTTCGATATTCTGCGTTCCTTTCGATTGAGTTATTAATTATTAATTATTAATAGTGTTATTGATATTCGATCGTCTTTCTCTAGTATATTTGTTTTTAAAAAAGGCACGCATTCGCTTATTCGCTACACAGTAAAAGCCTTAGGTTGAATGTTAATTCAGACAGATTTGTGCAACGCCGTCAACGGTCCGCAGATATTCCTTCTCCGGGTGGTTTTAGTGCAACATATGAACAAAAGACAACTACTAGCGACGACCTATGCAAACTTTTCTTCTTTTCCAGACGAATGAAAATGGTGTGATTAATCCAGAGTTTGTGATAGCATTATTAATAACATTATATGATAAAAATAAAAAGAGATTGGTTCTAGTTTTGTTTTAAGATGAGTTATTATTGGATTCTTGTTTGTATTTTTGCTTTTCTTCATCTTGCTGTTTTCGCACACTTGCGTTCGTTTTGCTAGTTACGTTATTGTTTTATTTGCAATTCCATTTGCAATTGTATCCTTTTGTTAATACGTTAATAAAAAATAGACTTCCACTTTCATCTTACTAAAAAAAAATAAAACTACTTGTTTCTTTTGTTTCTGCTCGTTCTTCACTTAGCGCGCTATACAGTGTTTATCAGTTAAGTCTACACAGTTAAAACACATCTAATTATTATTAATAATTTCTGAGATTACGTGTTATTCCGACGTCCCAAAGTGCGTCTCTGTCGCACGGTCTCTGCCTCGCTTCAAAGCAGAGCAAGCAGCACGGGACAAGATTTCATGATTGTTTTTCTTTCGCGTCGAGAATCGAGGATTCTGCATATCCTGGTTCAAGGATGACTTTGTTAAATATTAAAAGTAAAAATCTCTCGCTTGCTTCGATCAGGTTTTGTTGTTTGCTTTGCCCCAACAATGGAGGAAAACGGTGTTATAGCACACATAACTCTCCATTTTTTTTTAAACAGTGCTCATGTTTTTGTCACTAAATCCTTATACATCTAGCTGTGTTTGTTTTTGTGTGTATGTGTGTATGTATGTGCTTGCACATAATTATGTACGTGTGTTGTGGGGTTTGTGTGTTAAATTAATAAAAAAAACGAATCCTCAGAGACTTGTTTCCATCACGCGCTCTCTCTCGCTCTCTCGCTCTCGTCCCGTCGTAATTGTTAATCATATTTTGAGAAGACACGAACAAAAGCTTTGCTCTCATTTGTTGATTGTTTGTTTGTTTTTTTGTTTGTTTCATTCTAGTAGTATTTATTTGTAAATATTTCGAGACTACCATGGCACCAAGTTAATACGAAAAGTCATAACGAATAATGCATCTCTCATTCACAACAAGGCATACTTTGATATTGTCAGTTTCTGTTTCTACAGGGTTGGTTCGGGTTCGGGTGGATGTGTATTTGTGTGTATTCTGTGTATTGTTGGTGGGCTTCTTCCGTTTGGGCAACAGTCGTTTGTTTCTCATCTGGTTTGGTATGGAATTTGTTGGTTCAAAATTTTAGTTAATCCCCAAAATTAAATTACCAAAAGTGAAGGGAATCGATCAACGATCAGTTTTCTTTTAGGAAATCAAAACGAATTCTTTGAACGGATAGACTTACACAAAAAGCATTTGTTTCCAATTCCTCGTAGTAGACACCCAACAAACACTTTGAAACCTTTTTTTGCTGAAGAAGCATATTTTTGCTTGAATAAGCTCCTATTCTGGATCTTCCGCTTAGGTTAAGGCAACAAAGAGTCTAGGGAAATCATTTTTTTTCATCCGTGTTGCTTTAAGCTTCTTGACCCTCATTTTCCAGTATTTGTATAGGCTAGAACGCTACTTCATCGTAATCGCCCATTTTCGTTCTATCGGCAGAAAACATCAATAATATCAATGATTACGCATGATTGCGCAAAACAATAATACGTTTGTTCCGATGCGTTACTTCTTAAGCTACAACACAAAGCTCATTAGTGTGCATTGTATGAATATTTACACTCATTGTTCTGAAACAAAAGGAGTGCTCATAACGAATACATCTGTTTTAAATGGCGTTTCAATGCATTGGGACGGAATTGCAACCCGTAGAACAAATTTTGAATCAAGAAGCAGTGTTAAATTTTTAACAATATCTCCACAATGTGTGACTCTTTATCAAATACAACGAAAGGTAAATAAATTTAGAAGTCATCTTTGGAAGAATCATTCCAATGTTTTGTTCAAACCCGTTCAAAAAAGAGAGGTAAAGGACAGAAATTAGATCAAAACCCCTAGACAAAGTCGAATTTGACAGGCGAAGTTTGTTTTCTAATAATTAAAACCTAGTACTATTAGCACATACAAAAAAAAACTTTGTTTTTAAATCCTCCGAAGCACACCAAAGTTGTTCCATTTCTAGACCAACAATTGAGATGGGCGGAACAATCAAACATAAACAATGGCTTTAAACACAAATTTCTCGAGAATTAAAACACTCCCACGCAAACTAACAATGCCATTCTATAAAGGAAGTTTGCTCTATCGGATGATGTTATTAGATTGCTTGGATGTGCTTTGATTCTCGTGGAATTTGCGTTTAAAGTCATTGTTTACGTTTGGTTGTTCCGCCTATTTCAATTGTTGGTCTAGATATAATAAGAAAAATCAAATATTCTATAGAATATTCTTTTTTACGTTCGCTCAGCCCGTATTCGGACTATATAAACAAAGTCTCAAAATGTCTTGCGCCCCAAACCCTCCGACACGTTGAAATATGCAGGAAAATTGTTTAAGATACCTACTTAAAAGATAGGCAAGGTGTTGCTTTGAAGCCCACACCTCTACTGACTAATCTGTCCCAAAACTTCAACTTTTATTCGTATGAATTCTTTGACCATTCATATCAAAAGTCTGAGATCGTTTTTGAGAATAACATTTTGATAATTACCGCATTATTTGACAAATTTTCAGTTTCAATGCTAATTCTATAAGAATTGGCAGTACCTACTATCAAAATCTGAAAATGAGCATTGGTTAAACCCCTTCATGCAAATCGTTCAAAATGATGATGTAAACAGTGCAACCTCGCTTTACCGTTTATTCGCCGGTTAATCAAAGAAAAAAATTACATTCAAAAATAAAAACGGATCCGATGATGTGGTTGCACGGTTCGTTAAGTCGCTGACTCCGATGAAATCTAGGGCAACATGTCAAAATGGCTGATCTTTGTTGATCGATTCTCTTCATCGACTTTCTCCTAGGGTTTCACGAAAAAGGGACACAATAATTCGTAACCTAGGCTGGAATAAATCACAATTTCCTAGAATCCGAATTCAACGTGATCAGATAATAAAGAACCAATAAATCGATCTTCGAACCTTACTTTTCAAGGTTAAACTCGCTTGTCAAATGGATTTGTGAAACAAACATCATCTTGCTTTTAAATGCTGATGTCGAGTTCAGCACAATGCTTAAGGGCGAATAAGCTTTCATTCAATCTTGGGATGATGTTTTGGCACAGTGTAGGTTAGAAAAGATCTTTACAGTGGCTTTAGCCGACGATTACTCGAGAGTAAAAGATCACACATGCCAATTAACGACGCCACAAGGTAGATGAATGTTTCCTCTACCAGCTGGCATCGTTAATTTGCAGGAGTGAGCTATTATTTGTGAGAAATCGGCGGTTGGAGTCATTGGTTACAAAAGAAGTTTCACCCTAATGAAATGTTGGCACTGTTTTATCCAATGGTTATTAAGAATCCATACTACAGAATACTAATATTTCATTGGTACAGAATCTTAAAATAGATATTAAAACATGGCTTTTAGACATTTGTGTAGTCCGATTAGTATTTTTTTTAAATGTTAACTTCCAAGATCATTAATGGGCTAACAAAGATCTTCTAGGCCCATTACCATGTATCTTTAAAAAGTATCATATATATTCTAAATCTTAGATTTTTATGGTTTCAAATTTTGATTTTTGATTTATTTTCCAGGGTGATTTTCTCAGGCATGGCTAAATCAAAATATCTGAAGCAAATATTGTCTATTCAAGCATGGACAGTAGACTGACGCAAAATTTGAATTTTTCAGTCCACGGTGCTCAAACGGTTCCAAATTGGATCCTGATTAGCCTCCCAAAATTTGATCTCATTTATTAATAAACTGACTTGGCACAAACTTTATGAAGTTTATAAGGAAATTACTATCGATCTCAAAATTCACCATTTCACTCTGCTTTTAAAATTGTTAGCTTCGCTTGTAGGAAATTTTCTCAGCTACAACTTTGCCAAAAACCACTTCTCACATCACTAATGTCTTATGATTATGTTCAATCAACTGTTCAACAGGCAACATTGGTCTTTTTTGGCGCATAGAATGGCTACTACGTCACACTGCAGAACACAGTGTTGCCCACAGAACAAATGCCTGATCGTGTCATAAGATTATCAATCTCTTAAACAATTAATAACTATTTACTTTTAAGTTTGGCTGAAAACCGATCTTCTGCAAAGTTGTTGCTGAGAAAATTTACCATAAGCATGGTTATAGAATTTTTAAACAGTGCAATATGGAAAAAGACTAGATGACAAAGAGCAATAAGTTTGGTTTTCCCATAGTAATTTCCATATAAACTTCAAATGGTTTGTGCCATGCCAATTTCTTACCAAATGAGTTTCAATTTTGCGAGGCTTATCAAGGACCCGATTTGAAACCGTTTGAGCACTGTGGAGTGAACACTTCAAATTTTGCATCACTCTAATGGACAGTGATTCAAAGCACCTTGGATTCTATTAGTATCAATATCAACAGTACTTTGACTTCTCAATACGATAAAGTATAATGCACTGGTGGAAATTTCCATTTCATAATTCCAGTTTTTTCCGGTTGTTGGTCTTCCATTTCACATTTTCCAGTTGTGCACCTCACCAAGTTCTAAGAAGCACTTTCACATTGAAATATATATTTTTAAAACCCATGACAAGTTAAAAGATCAAAATAGCCTTATAAATTCCAAAATCGTCTTGAAATGTATAGCGATGGTCTTTAAAACGCTGAAATTGGCTTGCATAATAGGAGTCAAACATGTTAAAATATCGCCAAGAAGTATTAAAAAACGTCTAAAGTCGCCTTAAGAAGGACTCGTTCTGAGAATTCTAACATGACTTCAAAAAAGGTCAAAACATCCCGAAAATTTCAAAATATCTGAAGGTGATATGGTCTGGAAGCCCTTCGCTCTCATGACATTTCGCATTTTCTGGAGCATTAAAATCAGCCACTAGGAAACATATATCAACAAAACTTCATCCTCATGTTTATGGAGAAACGAATTCCATGCAAATTAGGCAATAGTGTCCGAGATTTACTTCCCAGCCAGCTTCTCGAGTAAAGCTGAAGATCAAATCGCAATCAAAATTTGCTGTTATGATGTAAAGTAAGTAGTAAAGTTGCTTTTATTTATAAAACTGAAAGCACAATATGTAATCAGACTTATTTCGCGACAATTAATATTAAAATGAGTTTTCATTACGATAGAAACAGCAAACTTAAATATCGATTTGCTTTCATTTTGTTAACCGCCTTTACCCGGGTTTACAGCCATCTTGCTGGATTTGTGGACGCTGTAACACATAAAACACCAACATATGATAAATAGTAATTAAAGTACCGAAAAGTCCATAAAACGCATAAGGCAAATGGCTATTCGTTGCCAGAGAACCACCAAAACAGCCAAAATGGATTCACAAAAGCATTGTGGCATATTTTTAAAGCTTAATGAACTAACGTCAGAACGTAAAAATGGCCATAAATAGGCCAGAATTCAAACCCAAAAATCGTCTTTAAAAAGCTAAAATAGCTCTGAAATGCAACAATGACATTATAAAGGTCAAAATAGTCTTAAAATCGCAAAAAAAGGTTTTGAAAATTAACAAAGGTCTTGCAAATAGACCCTTTAATCACAAAATTTACATGATGAAAATACAAAACTGACCATAACAGCCAGCATCTTTAAATTTGATTTAAAATATAAAAAAAACTCAAAAATGTTATGCAAAAGTACCATCAAAATGGCCTTAAACTACAAAACACTGGCTTCATTGGAAAATAAGCACCTGTCTCAACGAAGCCAATTTCAAATATTTTGTTTCAAAGTGGTTTTCCTGGAAAAAATTTCAACTTCCTGACTCAATAGAGTTGCCACCCACGATTTGAAATAACAATGGATAGACTGAATTTAACAAATTGTAAGTTGCAGACTAGATCGTATATGATAAATGGAAAACCTATGAAATTTGAACTAGCAAGTGGCAGTCCACATTTGTCCAGTAGATCATTGTATATGATTTGTTTGAATTTTTTAAACGAAAAATATTAGCATGCATGGTTTTTTTTTTTAAATTTTGATAGAGGTTTTGAAACCGTATCATAAAAATATAAATTTTTCATCACAGTCGGAAAGCAGTACCTAATTTAAATTTCATCTGGGTTGATAGAAATAAATATGATTTAGGTACACTGATTTTTCTGAAAATTTCCTAAAGGTTTTACCAACCAACCAACCAACCAACCTGACACCAAACGACTTGTACACCAAACACGGAAAGCGCCCTGTCCTTCGGTCTCATTCAAAGAAAATCACCTGTATTCATTTTGTCAAGTGTGTTGTAGCAGGCTGCAGTATAAGTGGGATCCATTCTTCTAATGCACTTTATTTAATTACGGAGTTGGTAGGGAGGGGGAGGGGGTGTTGACTCGCACGCTAAAACTGATTAAAAGTACTACTATTTTTGTTTCTAATTACGGGAAATGGAGGGTGGATTGCGGAAACTAGTAGCAATTGGTAGTGTAAATAGTATCAATGTGTGAGTGTTAGTCAAATTGAGGACAACAACTGAATATTATTATTGACGAAATCGATCCTGAGCGACCGATGCGGATGCGTGGTAAATATTTGAATATTGGAAGAAGAATGATAAAAGATTTTGGTGATTGGTGGTTGCATTCCGGTTTTGTTTTTCGTTTTTGTAGATATTGCTGTTTCTTTCTTTCGTTTTTTTTTTGTTTTTGCATTTCTTCTCCGAATGTGTGGTTTGTTTTAATGCGACTTGAGTTGTTGTTTGTTTAGATTCGTTATTGACAATTGGGTTTAATAGAGTTCTAGACGACGCTTTCTATTTTTTAATAAAGAGTTATTTCCAGATGTAAGATCTTCTAGATTATTATTAGATGTGAGTGCAGATTTGTTTTATATCTATTTCAGAATTAACAATGATTAAAAACAAAAAAGTTATTAAAAAATAGAGTTATATATAATAGAAGTATATATATAAATTATGTGTGTGGTTTTATGCGTGTTTTTGCTGATTATTGCCCCTTTGCCCGGTTTTAGTAAGGATGATCTCTAGGCGCAAATTGCCTTCTTTGAGTTTTGATTGCACCTACACTGTGATCGGCGTACTCTGCGAGCAGTGGATTCCCGGCGGCCAGTGCTGCATAGCTGGCGTAGTCGGCGTACGGTGCCGTGGCGTATATCAGCCCGGTGGTGTGATCGATGGTGGGTGGCGCCGAACCGGTCATTAGGCTGGCACCGGTCGTTGGCACTGAGATTCGTGGCGACAGGATCAGCGGAGCACCGAGTGGATTGCCGGCGTTTCGCGTGAGACTTTGGAGCTGGTTCTGCGTGAGACCTTGGAGCGCAGGGTTCATTAATCGCTGCTCGGCAGCCAGCTGCTTCCATCCGTCGTAGGCCGTTTCGAAGGTGATCTCGGCCGGGGCGGATTTTGTGCTCGAGTCCCGATAGGTTCCGTTGATGATGGCCAGTTCCATGAGCTGCCGTTTCTTCAATTCATCTTCGCCTTCAGCATGGGGAACCAGCAGTTTCTTGACCTCTTCCAGCGCACGCTTGATTTTCATCGATGCTCGGTTCTCGGTATCTTCAACGGTAATCAACACGTGCAGATCATCAGACAGATGTTCCCAGTTCGGTTTACCCCGATTTGCTTCCTCTTTTTTCTTATCTCGCATCGAGCCTTTCCCCCGGACCATTATCTTACATCCCGTCTCCTGTTCCAGCTGCTTGGCGGTCATGCCCCGTGGTCCGAGGATTCGTCCCACAAAGTTAAAATCGGGATGCTCTTTGACCGGTACGTACACTTTCTCGTTCAATGTCATAGTTTCACCCTCCGGTTCTGGCAGCGTCAGAGGCTCTTTTGTCACTCCGTTGATCTGGAAGAGGGAAGCTCGGACCTTGGATATCTCCTCGTCGAGCAAACGCTCGACGTGATTGAACACATTCGGGAAAGCGGCCAACTGCTTCCGATCCTTAAGTAGCTGTGCCAAATAGTCGGCAATGCTCTGCGTCGACTGGATGGTGGCCTCCGGGTGCACACTATTGCCATATACGCTCATCTTGTCTGATTGTTTGCTTGGTTCCAGGTTTCTTCTCTCTGAATCAACTCACTTCTTCTCGCGCTTTGTACAATAATATCGTGTTCAACAATCACTCTGCAGTGGAGAAATAGAGAGAAGGTACAGGTAAGATTAAGGCTCTGTTTGTTTTGCTGCTTCAAATTACAACCTTATACACTTGTTCTATCTGTGTAACTCAGTGTTGCTTCTCCATTCCTCAATATAACTGCGTTCATCAATAATACTCCGATGCGGTGTACGATAGAAAAAAAAAACACTATTCTTGCACTCTCCTTTGTACTAGTGTATGTATCGGAATTTCGTATGAATCAACTTGTTTCGCTTCCCTTTATCTTCCTATAATCCACACAGCGCTTTCGATTTCTCTTTCTTCCTTTGCACACCCGGTTTTCTTTTACTCCTGCTTTCCTTCTGTGTAACCTCAAAAAAAAAAATCGAAAAACAAAATTTTTCCTCCCAACAAGAAATTCGCCACTAACACTCGCGATCGTGGGGGAAGTGCCTCCACAAACACACTTCTTCTGGTGGTGGGTCGGTCACACTTGTACACACTACTCGGTGACTCCTTTCTTTACCGCCGTGCTGCGTTGCCTTCCTTCTACAACTCTCGGTTTCCGCACTTTACACACTCCTCCTTCGTATTCTTTTCACTCTGCTTCTCTGCCTCGCGCACGGTTCGACGTCGTCGCGGCGGTTCTATGACTGACTGAACTGGCGATGCGCAGCAGCTCTCCTCAATCTGTTTCGGAAAATCCTCCAAATGAGCACTAATCGAGTATCTACGATCGGGGACCAATCGCCAGGCCGTGGGTAGTTCACTAAAAATTCTAATCCCTGCCGGAAGCAAGCACTGTGCACTCGACGCGTCGCGAATTACCGAAAATATTCACACCGGATCGATCGCCCGACACGGGGTACGAGCGAATTATTCTGAACTGACTTTGTGTAAATGTTACTTAAGTACAAACGCGGAGCTGCTTGCTGTCTTCTCTTCCCTAAAAGCCCTATACTAGCGCACAGTCGCGGTTGAATGTGTGCTTATTTTTCTACTTTTTGCTACTCTTTTTTTATTTTATAAGTTCAAACTCGAAGAGCCCCGACAAAGTTTCGACTGTTCCGACGTACGGCTGAGTTGACAATAACCGAACGGAACAGACCGCTGAGCTGAGTTGAGAGATCTGAGAGCTGAAAAGTCGACCCCGTACAGAGATCCAGAAGAGGTAGTGTGTTGTGTTGTGTAGGCAGAACAGCTTATACAGATAAACTCTAGAGACAGACAGAGGCCAAGATCTGAGTGAGATCTCCCTCGCCATGGAGGCACACGCATACAATCGAAGGTCGAGCAACAAGTCAGCGTTGGTGTAACTGTACTTAAACTACTTCGATCGATTGGCTCTCATTCCCTCGCTCGCTCTTTCTCGCGGCAACCTTCTCACTCCAACGCACTGTCTCGGTTGAGGCCTATTGCTGGCCGTGTGATGCTGACTAGTATCGCGGAGCAGAGCACTTGTGCCTGCTTGGCTTTACCGTTCTCTGGTGCCTATTTGGACTAAAGAGACTGAATCTAGAAAGACACGACATGTTACTCAATTCAGCCTCTTTAATTTGGACAACTGTACAGGTTTTCCTTTTCCGTCAGACAGAGTCTTAATTTTTTACGTTTTCTGTTTTATTTTTCAGAAATTTGTTTGTCGTACATATTATAATGCGGTATGGCTTGTTTCATAATTTTTAATATTTTAATGCTTATGTTATTTATTTATTTATTTCGTCAAGCAAAGTAGTCTACATACAATGTTTACAATGTTATACACTGGAGTCGCTTTTTACGCGGGTGATACGTCCCGCGTAAAAAAAAACCGCGTAAAAAAAAACCGCGTAAATTCCGGAATCCGCGTAAAAAAAAACCGCGTAAATTCCGAAATCCGCGTAAAAAAAAACCGAGTAAAAAAAAACCGAGGAAGAAAAAACCGCGTAAAAAGCGATATACCGCGTAAATTCTGAAATCCGCGTAAAAAAAAACCAAAATCCGCGTAAAAAAAAACCGCGTAAATTCCGGAATCCGCGTAAAAAAAAACCGCGTAAATTCCGAAATCCGCGTAAAAAAAAACCGCGTAAAAAAAAACCGTGTAAAAAAAAACCGCGTAAAAAGCGACTCCAGTGTACTTACATGTTATGCATTATTTCTATTTCCTCTAGTCAAGTTTTTTATTTTGTTTTTTGACATAGTGATTTCAATTTCTTCGCAATTTATGTTATACAGGCACATCATTCGATTGATGGGACCATTTTTTGCATAATTTGTTCGGCATGTGTTTTCATAGAATAATTTTCGAGTTCTAAGGGGTCAAAAGGGTGCATGAAAATTTAGTTGAGAGAGTACCCGCATAAGCAATAACCATAAGAAGCGCCTAACCACCAATTCCAGATATCATCCCAACTTTATGTAGTATGGTCGTATCATCTATGATATCGTTAGTGTATGGTACCCGTTTATTAGGGTATTTCAAGCTGAACATTGCATTAGGTCCTAACTAACATTGATCGATTCTCTTCGTCGACTTTCTCTTTCGTAAATAACTTGAGCTCATATCTGTTTCTTGTTATGTTGCTCGTATTAGATACTAGATATAAACTTCTTTTATCGATCTGTGGGCTGAAAATACCTGGGAATGTCTTTACATGGCCGTGGGGATACAAAGAGAAAGTCAACGAAGAGAATCTGTCAATGTTACTTAGGACCTAATGCAATGTTCAGCTTGATTTTTGCATCCTGATGAATGTGGGCGTCTAAGTGGAATACCTGTATAAAGAGAGAAAGAGAGAGAGAGAGAGAGAGAGAGAGAAAGATCAGTAATTTCCATTTAATTCCACTACCTTATTTGCTTCTCCTTCACACTTAGAAAAATTGATATAAACTTAGGAGCTCTGAGACATATACGAACGTCAATTTTGACATAAAATTTAGTCAAAATAGACGAGAAATTCAGCCCAATCAAACGTACTTTCGAACTTTTCAATCTTGGAGCACCTAATTTTACATGACATGTTTGCTTACGTCTCATTCTTTATGTCAAAGATGGATTCCGTCACGTGTAAAATTAGGTATTTCTAAGTGTGTTGACAGATACGCGTATTTCGTCTACAATGTGCAGACTTCTTCAGTGTCTTGTACTAATACTCGAATACTCAGTCGAGTATTAGTACAAGACACTGAAGAAGTCTGCGCATTGTAGACGAAATACGCCTATCTGTCAAGGATAAACAAATAAGGTAGTGGAATTAAATGGAAATTACTTACCTTTCTCACTCTCTTTATTGATTTCTGCAGATTCTGTGCGATGAGAAATAATGTCATTGATGAAGAAAAGCATTGCAAATTCACGCCGTTCCTTTAGTATTTGTAGATTGATGAGCACGCAGCGTGCCCCATAGGATGGTAGAGGAAATGCAGTCGAATTAAGTCGTCCAATTTTGATTCCTTGCTTATGATAGTGTTACAATCTTCCACAAATGTAAGTTTGGTGTCCAGTATTACGCCTAAGTCGCTTAAAATTTTGCATTCGTCTACTATTTCGTTTCCTAAAACAAGGGGTTCCAGTTTTTCTACTAAATGTTATTGCGTTACATTTTGTAACATTGAATTGGAGTATACTTTTGCTACACCAGATTTATTTCATTCTGGAATATTTCTGCGTCGGAGGCATTTCTTATGTCCATGAAGAGCTTCATGTCGTCTGCATACACAAGAACTTTAATGTTCTTACGTATGACGGAAATGTCGTTTACGTACAAAATAAAAAGAAGTGGGCCCAAATGAGATCCCTAGAGGACCCCAGAGGTGACTATAATTGGTTCTGAAAGTTTATTTTGAAAGCGTACAGTTCGCTTACGGTTTGTTAAGTATGACTGGAGATAGTTCAAAAGTCCGACTTCCATTCCTACTTTCTGCAGTTTAAAGAGTAATAATGGTATGTCGAAATTTATAAATTTCCATGATTCAGTTACTAAGATGATTTTTGTTTTTCAATGAATGGCGTGTACGTATTGTATTAAAGTAAATAACCACCAAATTTATTCGTTCAACTCGCTAGTTCAGTTCTCACCTACTGCTGGGCTGCTGATACTCCATTTCGGGATTTCCAACTGGTATTAAAGTTCCTTTTAACGGTATCCTTCATTACATTCAAATCATTTGCCATCGAAATGTTTTCCCTTAATTTATACTGTTTGTACTTTTGAGTACTTTAAATTCTCTTTAAATACTTTTTAGTACTCTGATTCATCTTTCAGTATTTTGAGGACATAAACTCATCTTTAAACACTTTTTTATTAGTTTAAATTCTTAATGTCTTATAGTATTTTGAATACAACGCACTCAATACAGTGTTCTGCACGCCCCTAGGCTTCTTGTTGGACTAGCCATTTCAAATGATTGGATTTGTACTTTGTGCCAAGCTTTGTGCAGCAGCTGTATGCGCGACTGACCCCAACCGCATCGTAGGTTTTCATAGAATTTTATTGACATACAGCTCAAAAAAACCGTGCTCGTTGACCAGAAGGTTCATGTTAGGATTGGGCGATCTTGGATCGATCTTTGCAAGATCGATCTTTTTCATCCCGATTTCCGATTTTTCGGATCGATTCTTCGTCCAAGAAAAAATCGAAAAAATCGATTTTTTCTTTCGATCTTTAAAAAAGTAGGTGCTAAATTTTTAAAGTGTATATACATAAAAAAAAAAACAATTTATTCTCCCCCAGACTGCGTCGTAAATTTAACAAACATAACTCAACATCAGCATCGTCCTATCCCCTTTCCTATCCTTCGACAATGTACCCCTTTAACCTCGAGTAAGCCGCGAGTATTCGGCCCAACTCCTACTAGACATAGAATTAAGTGAATTTTGTTACAAACAAAGAACAATGAATTATCGGCTCCGTAAAGCTAACGCGATTGAGCCTTAAAAATAAACGAACTAGATAAAAAAAAACTTCAGCATCGCTCCCTATGTTTTTATCTGATTACAATGACGTCACTATTTGCGTTTCCAATATTTACGAATACAACAACATTTGAAGGTTTGCTCTACCTTCCTCCTGTGCTCATTACTCCTTGCCATCACATTTTGCTTACAAGGAGAAACAGAATGATACATTTTGATTGATTAATCATTAATGATTCAAAACTACACAAAAATGATAAAAAATTATTCTTCATTATGAGTTGTCCCGTTTTCCTCGAAAATGATTAAACTTAAATCATTAATGTATCATTCTATTTCTCCGTGTACTTTGATGGCAACTGAACTGAATTGATACATACATTGACAGTGAGCAAGTGTGGCGTTCATTTCCTCTTTGTTTTCGTTTGTTCGTTACCTTGCGCGCATTTTATTCAAAGAAAAATTTCTGGCCGGTGATTTACTTGAATATTATAAAGAAAAGATTTTCTTGGAGTGCCAACGTAAACAAGCGCATTAAAAAAAATCAAAAGATCGATCTACCTAAGATCGATTCTTTGGCACCGATTTAATCAGTGGATCGATTCTAGAACCAAATATAAGATCGAGCCGTCAAGATCGATCTTTCTCTGAAGATCCCCCAATCCTAGTTCATGTTTTTCTGATTAAAAACGAATGTTGCTTTGTCCACGTTGAAGTTGAGTCACTGTCACTTTGATACGCTTTAGGGCACTTCCATATTCAATGCCGGTTTTCTCAGAGTTAGGTATGAAAGACTACCATAATAAAATATAGCATGCCCGAACGATAATCCATATGATTTAACTATTCCACAAATGATTTGGATGATACCCTGAACACGGTTTGAGTTGAATTCAACTCACCTGCCTCATCTAAATCCCGCTTAATGCAGACCTTTCCGTGCAGTCAATAATCATACAATATAATAATAATACAAAATTCCACCACTTGAAGATGTCATGAAGGAACTCTCAGGTGGAAGCATATTTCATGGGCGATTCTCTCCAGTAAAATGCATTAACTTATCAACGACGCTCAACCACGAAGGAGACGTGACCTAGAGAGATCGAGTGCAGAGGAGTTGGCCTGCATTTCTCACAAGTTCCGGATCGAATCTCAATCCATAACCAGTAAAAAAAAGGACTCACCCGTA